CCCAAACTTTGAACAAGTAAAAGTGTTCAAGGTTTTGAGATTGACAGCTTAAACTCTAGGGTAATGTCACGTCTTCCTGCACAAATGGGCTAGGTGGTAAATTACTCAGCCATTGGGAATCATATTTTCCTCATCTGTGAGACGAAGGCTGAAGACCGTCATGCATGGGGTTGTTGGGAGGATTAAATAGAATGCTACAAGTAAAGTAGTTGGCAGGGTGTGTGACATTTAGCCATCACTCAGCACAGGTCATCTCTTTACTAAGTGAGGCTGCTGCAGCTGCCCCTATTACTACTGCTTATAGGTGTTAGGTAAAAGCATGGTGCCATCCTTTCGGGCCTTGGGTCAAAGTGAGCCATGCATTTAGAGGGAGTTAAAAGGGTACCAACTCAAAAGAACCACATGATGCTGGAATTCTATTAGGGCATCATCGACCCCATTTATTTGGTGCCCCCAGCAGTACAAATTAGAGGTTAGAGCTTAGATTCTGTCAGCCTACTTGGGTTCAAATACTGTCTACAGAATTTTCAAAATGCCTGATCTTAATTGAGTTAACTTTTTTTACCTATAAAGTGAGGAATAAAAAATAATAGCTGACTAAATGGGTTGTATGAAATTTACAAGGCACATTTCACATAAAATGTTTATACAGTTTATGAAACAATGGTCAGTGCTCAATAAATAAATATCAATCACTACTTTCAGTATGCTGTAAAAATGGTAACATGGTTCTCCATTAAAACTATCTAAACAGAGGCTTATTAGATATGCTTTATTTTATTGGTCGCATAACTGCTCTGATAAACCTTGAACTAAACTCTTTTCATTTCAAGTAACCTCATAAGCATAAGCTGTACATTACATGGGAAGGTAAGAAGAAAGTAGCTGGAAGCTTAGATTTACAGGAGTTGGGTAAGTAAGGAAAGTGAAAGGGAAAGGTGGGCCAACTGGTAACTGGAGAAAGAGAGAAAATGTGGGATGTAAACAGGAGTTTCCTATTACTTGCTTCTAGGAGCTGGTTGCTGGATAAGGAAAAGAAAAATCAAGGAAATGGCAAACACCTGGGTTGCAGCTTTCTGAGACCCAGCCCACCACAAATAGCAACTATTGTGTAGCGCCACACTCGAGCACAGACTTTGCAAGCTGATGCGGTTCTGCACACATACACCCCTTCAAAATACAAATGTGCTATAGCAGGTCCCTGACTAAATGGATCTTTGTACCATTTTTTCCCCATCTACTATTCTGTTTCTCTCTTGCCACTGACAGCCAAACTTTTAACATTGTCTCCACCAGTTTCTTCCACTCCAATCTGGCTTCCAATAGCACCAGTCCAGGAGAGCCAATCTGTTGACATCACCCAATTATTTAAATCTATTTAAATACATGTCAGTAGCATTTCCTGGAGATGTTCACTTTTGACAATACATTGGGATTTAGATATCACAGTAAGGATTTGGGGTTTTACCCAAAGCGTCATAGGAAGCCACAAAACTTTATTTTCTTAGGGAAGGAAGGCTCCAGGGACACTACACATGCTGGGTTTTACTTCTAATTCTCTAGTGTATTCTCCAAAAACAAAACTCTAAATGGCAGTTGTTCTGGATTGAATGCTTTTGTCTCCCCCAAATTCATATGTTGAAGTCCTAATACTCATAGTGTTTCTTAGTCGTACCAATCTTAAAAAAAAGTTCTAACATCCACAAGTTACAAAGCAGAACTGCTGGTCATTCATTCTTGATTCTTCATCCTTCATCAGTCCTCACGTACTGTCCCTCAGTAAGTATTCTCAGTAAGTATCAATCCAAAGTATGTCATCTTCTCTTCATCACCACAGCGATGGCTCTGGCTCAAGCAACCACCTTCTATCATAAGAACTCCTACAATGTGCTGCTTATTCCTATTCCATATGCCCTCTGGCCCTCCCCCATTTGCTTCTGTGGGTTCATCTGTTAAGTATGATTCTTGCCCTTCATTATTCAAAATCTTTTAAGTAAAACCCAAATTCCTTATTGTGGCCTACATATCTCAGCTCCATCCTGCACCGTGCTTACCCCGCACCTTTATTTCCGGCCACTCCCACCGACTCACCAGGTTCTAGCTGCACTGGCCAAATTTTAAGCCCAGCCCAGCAGGCACCCCACTCTGTCTTACACGCGCTGCTCCCTCTCTGAGAGTGCTCTTTCCCCTGCTCTTCACACACATAGCGTGAGGCAATTATACAACTAATAAAGGGATTCTTCCAGATAGGTCTAATAATATTCACCTGACACCGTGCATAGTTGTTACAATATGATATTCCCTATCTGTACTGTGACTACTTTGTAACTGCCAATTTGTACTTCTTAATCTCTTCACCTTTTACCCCCAGGTCCCTAACCCCCATCCAATATGGCAACTGTGTTTGTTCTCTTTATCTATGAGTTTGTTTCTGCTTTGTTTTTTTCCATTTATTTTGTTTTTTAGATTCCAGGCATAAGTGAAATCATATGATATTTATCTTCTCTGACTTATTTTATTTAGCATAATACCCAGTAGCTCCATCCACATTGTTGCAAATGGTAAGATTTCACAAATGCTAAAATTTCATTCTTTTTTTATGGCCGAACAATATTTCATTGTATATATGTACCACATCTTTATTGAATCATCTATCAATGGAAACTAGACCACTTTCTTTCTTGTACCATATACAAAAATAAACTCAAAATGGATTAAAGACTTAAATGTAAGTCCCAAAAGCATAAAACTCTTAAACGAAAACATAGACAGTAAATTCTCTGATACTGTTCTTAGTAATAAATATTTTTGTCTATGTACCCACAAGCAAGGAAAACAAAGGAATGGGATTACAACAAATTAAAAAGTTATTGCACAGTAAAGCAAACCATCAGCAAAATGAAAAGACAACCTACTGAATGGGAGAACATATTTGCCAATGATACACCCAATAAAGGGCTAATAACCAAAGGTTATAGAGAACACATACAACTTAACAACAAAACAAAAACAAAAACAAAAAAACCCTAGTTTAAAAATGAACAGAGGACCTGAATAGGCACCTACAAAGAGGACATACATATGGCCAATAAACATATGAAAAGATGTTTAATGTCACTCATCATCAGAGAAATGGAAATTAAAACGACAGTGAGTTATCACCTGATACCAGTCACAATGTCTAACAATAAATCAACAAACAACTGGTGGTAAGCATGTAGAGAAAAGGAAATCCTTGTGCACTGTTGGTGGGATTGAAAATTGGTGCAGCTACTATTGAAAAGAGTATGGACGTTCCTTAAAAAATTAAAAACAGAATTACATATGACCTAGCAATCTCACATCTGGGTATTTATACAAAGAAATCCAAAACACTAATTCAAAAAGATATATTCATGCCTATGTCCATTTCAACATTATTTACAATAGCCAGGATATGAAAGCAATTCTTTCTTAATCTTTCAAATCTCTGTATCTTTCCTACCTATTATAGTGGCCCTATCTACTGCAACTACGTAAATTTCCTTGTTATTCTCTGTTCCTCAACCAAAACATATATATTATTTATTTGCTATCTGTATTTCTCATTACATGGTATGCAAGGATGGAATCTTGCCTCTTAGGTTTATTAATTCATACTCAGTATCTAGCATATTTGCTGGATTTGTAATACTCAATATGCTGCATGAGTGAACTGCAGTATGAAGTAGGTATTCAACATACATTTAATTAGTTAGGGTTTATTTCAAATTATACCATAAATAACATTAAATATGTTGCTATTTATTTATATCACACATAATTGTTATACAGAAATATTGTGCGTTCATCAATTTTCTATTGAACATAGTACTTAATCTTTATGACCAGAACACTGCTTGGTTGTGAGAAAAGCTGAATAAAAATAAATATAGTCTTTACTCTTTTTAAAAAAAGTTAAAATCCTGGAGATCTAAGGTTTAAATACATGAAGCAATATAAAAATAATATATAATATGAGTCCATGATATCAAAATCACTATAAAATGCTTTATAAAATTTAATGATAACAAATGGGTGTCTCTGATGAAAGTGACCTCAAATTCTGCGGCCCTGCAACAAGTGAACTCCGATGAGATGAGATGAAATAAAGGAAAACAGACAATTCCACTAAAGTAGCAGAATCAAATTACATATATGTGTACACATTCAAGGTTTGTGTGCCTTGGGAATTTTAAGTAGTCACAGATAACATGTAAGAAAAATTCAGAATTGGCTGTCTAAAAAAATTCAAAGTGCATAATATTTTGGGTAGCAATTTAAATATAATTTATAAATATTTATTAAGAACCTAGTTTGTGTCTATCTTCTAGCTGCTATCAGATTGTCAAAAATGAGTAATGCATAGTACCTACTCAGAGTGTCCATAACAGAGGTGGAGGAAGTGGAGGAAGATAATCATATAAATGCTAAATCAATACACACTTCAACAAGTGGTATAGACGAGATGTAAACACAATGCAATGGAAACTCCAATACTGAGGAGTCAATTAATTTTGAGTCTCTGATTTCATTTTCCTCTGAGTTTTGGTGGACACTCGGTGATGGACCACCGCTTCCGCTCTTCATCTGCTCAGAGAACACATGCTGAGAGTAACCTATCCAAAGAATCTTAGGGAGACTTGTGTTCACAGGCCTTTTAAAAGCTAGTCAGAGAGGACCCTTCGCCGGCAGCCTTCTTCAGAGCTGAGGACACATGAGCCATCTGCAGAACTTGCTGTTGGATTCCCTCCTGGGCACGAAGCATGTGGACAGTGCGGCCCTCATCAAAATCCACGAGCGGAGCCCTGGTCTCTGGCAAAGGTGGGGGCGGAGTGGGCTGGAGACACCTGAGGATAGACTGGGGAAGGAATCTTTGGGGAGAGAACTGAGAGAGCGGCTGGTGGGATCTCGGTGCTGACTCATCCCCCATGCAGCAGCAGCCATCTTGCTCAGGCAGACCACTCTCTCTCTTTTTTTTTTTTTTTTTAAATCACCAAACAGTATTTATTTAAATGACATTAATTACAGTCTTTCCTCGTGCGTGTCCTCCTTCCACCTTCAGAAAGGCTTCTGGAACTTCAGAAAAAGGAAAGGTTTTTTCAATAACTGGCTGAATCTTTCCCTCATCCACCAGTTTTGCAATGTCATCTAGATAGGGACCACTGGCCATGAAAAAGGCCCAGCGATAATGGACTCCTTGCCAGAAATGCTTTAATGTCTTAGAACCCACGGTGACGCCCGTCTGCAGCATGCCGTCTGCTATGCCCAGTCGGTCCATGTTCAGGAGAAAAGGAGTCACCAAAGTCACATATGTGGCTCCTGACCATTTCTTGAGTAAATTTAGAGCCCATGTTTCAGTGGATCCACCAACATTATCAAGGATAAAATCAAACGGTTCTAAAGATTTCAACTGTTCTTCCACATTTCCAGATTTGTAATCAATTACGTCATCTGCCCCAAGCTTCTTTACAAGTTCACTGGCATCCTGAGAGCAAACTGCTGTCACACGAGCATTCCATGCTTTCATTACCTGTATAGCAAAAGTACCAACTCCACCTGAAGCACCCAAGATCAAAACACGTTTTCCTGTGCAATTTCTAAGATGGATTTATAGAGATTGTGCCAATTGAGTTGGGCCTTGAGTTTAAGTTGAGTTTTGGTTGCTCCTAAAGAGAGAAATTTATTCCAGATAGAAGGAACATCCTGTTCAAAGTCGTGGGCCTGAGAATCAACAGGGTATCTGTGAAATATGGAATGCAGAGTGGTCTCAGTGCATCAATACAATATAGGTTCTTGGGGCATATAAGACATCCCATTGAAAGGTAAAAATACAAAATCCCAAACCAAATTACGTGATACAGTTGGTTGTTTTGTCATGATGCAATACTGTCTAGTCACTTCTTTAACTTTTGTTTCCACTGTGTTAATCATTTTGTTAACTAAAATGTATTTCATCTTGTACAGAAATTATAGTCACTTTTAAGTCATAGACAGTCCTAGCACAGGTGACAACTGAGCACTTGAAATGTGGCTACTCTCACATGTTGATATAATATTTTGGATACATTAGCTTAAATAAAATGCATTATCAATGTCTTTAATATTTTCTATTTTTAGAAGATTAGAGATTATTCAACACTGAGTCCATAAAATCCTCTCTAAAAATATGTGGCTTCAATGAAAACCATAAAAGTTGAACATTACATAGCACAGAATTATTTTCATATACATGTGCCAAAGCATTAAAATGTGGTTTCAGCTAGGGAAACAGTATTTTGTATTTATAATTAAACATGAAAAGCTTCTACAGTATTGTACTGCTCTAGTGGACAGGATCATAACCACCTTTATTTTTTTAATGAGGCTATTTATTGTGTAACCTTTGTTATTTTCACAACTCTAGAAAATCAGCTTACAAAAATTCTTTATTTTTAGGATTCATGTATAATACCCTTCAATTGAATCTATTGGTTTCCAGTAGGACTTTTTATATGTTAAAACTAAGAATAAAATAAAAAATATAAACATCAGGTAGAAATGTACACAGCAACATATTGTGATTATCTTTTTTTTATTTTAAGAAATATAAAAGTACAGGATGACAACACAATCTAGAATTATATTGAAAATGGCTTTAAACGGTCAATACCTATTTGTCAAAACTAAAGATTTAGAGATCCATCTAACATCTGCTGTAAAATTAAGACAAATATATTTAGAAATTACTTGAAAGTCAATGAACATCATATGAAAAGTTTCTGAAGTGGTCTGTAAAATGATTACTTGTATAAGAATTACAACTAATATTTATTTAGCTGAGTTCACATGGAGCAATAGTGGCATTCAATTACATTAAACTACATAGTTCTACTAATTTCTGTGAAATGTCTTAAAATAAAATGGATTGTTACTATCTATTGTGCTTAGGGCATCTCTGTTAATATGAGAGACTCCTCAAATGACTGGGAATAACACAGCTGTTAAAATGCATGAGATTACACTGTAATAACATTCTGTCCCTAATAACAAATTAGGCCACAAATACTAATAAACGTAATCGCTGATCCACTAATGGAAGATTTCTGCTACTTTTGAAAGCTTGACAATTAACTGTGATTCCATGAATCTGATTTTGTTAAATTAAACTGTTAGCGAAGGCATGGTGTCTTAGGAGGTCAATACTGAAGATTCCATCTGCATTTTTACTTTTCAAGGCAAGGTAATTCTAAAAATTGTTTCATTATTTTTATAACTAAAAAATTAAGAGCTGCTTAATTCAACATTGCACGATTAAAACACCTTTATTTATTAACTTATTAGTTTATTTATATTTTTTAATACTCAAGACCCAGCCAGGCCCTGTGACTACTAGTATCTCAGACTTTCTCTCACCCCGCTCACATTGCCCAGGTCCACCGTCAGGTAGGTCTCCACCTGCTCCCGCCCTGCCTCCCTGTCCTGGCCTGATACTTTGTTCATGCTCTTCCCTCTTCCTAGAAGGCTAAGTTCCTCTGTCCTCTCACAACCAGCTCCTTCTTTTCACATAGGTCTCCATTCAAACATTACTACCTCAAAGGCATCTTTCCAAAGTTCCTTTTCTAAGTGCTAATCATTCCCCATAGTGAAAAAATTATTCCTTTCTTTTCCTCAAAACAATCATCAAATTTGAATGTATCTTGTTAATTTATGTGCTTAGTTGCTTATTGTTGGACTTTTCCTCTGCAGAACATACACTCCATGAGAGCAGAAAGCTATTTGCTTGCCACTAACAAACTGATAGTATACATACTCAGTTTCAAAGTCCATAAGCACATCTGTAGTATATTTTTTTAATGGTTACAGGGTGGCCCAGCATTTGAATGTACTAAAATTTGTTATCAAATCCCCTATTGTTGGATACTTAAATTAGCACCATTTTGTACTATTATACACAATATTTTGATTCGCATCCTTGTACTTAGATGTTGACCACTTACCTGGTTATTTCCTCTAGGTATTCCCCTATGTTAAAATACTAAGAAAATTAAAATACATATATGTAAAAATTTAACTCATGTTTCCAAACTATTCTCAAAAATGTGTTACTGGTTTCTATTTACATCAACATTCAGTACAACTGACTTGCCAAATCAGTAGGGGATTAGCTGTTTTATAGACAATCTGTTTTTCACTCAGAATTTTAATTTTCAGTGTCAAGTTTTAATACATCCCACTTTATCCCAAGATTGAAAATTAGACACATAAATATACACACAATGTACATACTATATATGCATTTGCTATATATTAGTCTCACTTTCATCTTCAATATTCAACAAAAGCTTACCAACAATATCAGAGAAATTACTTTATTATTTTGAATGTGTTGAGACATATCAATGCACCATTATAATAGTTTGATACAAAGCGCTTAATATTTTTTATTGATAGAACTCAAAGAGAACCTCCCAAATAATATTGTTCCTGTATAGTACAAAAATGCTAAAATCCCGTAACTGCTAATGTGTCTTCCCCAACTGACTTTAATTTTGGTTTATAAGGATGTTCATTAAAAGCAGGACTGACTAAACTTCTCAGCATACTTAGAGAAGGGATCTAATAAGCTATTATAAGCTACAGAGGTTTTGTGATTAGGTTGAATTTCAGCACCGCATAATGTTTCCAGTTACGGCTAATGAACAACCCACTCTCAAATACATTCTGAAGGTAGATACAGCTTGTTGAAATACGATTTAAGTGGTGGTTTACCGATGACTCAGCCCCTTCACTCTGGCTTTAACAATAAAACAAAGGGATTTTTTAGTGGGGTATCACTGTCTTTATACTTCCAATGGAGCTTCCATCCTGTCAGTGCCTCAGACTTCCTTCAATGTTTTATTTTTTCAACTTCATTGCAAGGAGATGATGAAGTGTTGCTGAGTAAGTAAAGTTTATTTTTATCAAAATCATTATTCTCAAGGCAAGAGGTGGAGCTTATGTCTGGAAGTCTAAAATACTATGATGAACTTATTTCATTTTCTTGCTCTTTTTCATTCATAATAGAACCTCGTAAGTCAAATTTCACCTGTGTGTGACATGACCATAATTAGTATTTCTATAGTTCTCTTCAATATTTTAGGACAAATTTATTAGAAAATATTATAAATAATAACAGCTGTTTTGAAGACTATGTGCTAAAAGCTTTAAGTGTTTTAACTCATTAAATATTCATAGAAAAATTATGACATTAGCAATATATGTATTCCTATTTGACAGACAAGAAAATTGACACATCAGAAAATTAAGATATTTGCTCAATCACACAGCTAAGAATAGCAGAACAAAGACACAAAGCCAGGCCAATTTTCTACAGTATATTCTCTACTGCTTCATATAACTTATACTTTTCTCCATATTCCATAGTCTGAAGTTATAACAGGATCATAATGAAAGTAATAGAGACATTTCCTTGATTCAGCAAGGCCAACCTCTACAGTTCTATAGCATTCCAATTTCAATTACTCCTAGCAAGTTCTGAAAATCTGGTGTTAGCTGTGTGTCATGGGCTGGCCAATGTATTTATTCTATAGTGTATTTCCCGTGTCATTGCAATGAAGTTTCCTGCTGTCTAATTTAACTCACAGGTCAGCCTGAGTGATTTATTGGTCAAATTTTATTGAGTGATTAACCATGTGCCTCTTACTGTTCCAGCCATTGGGAAAATAGCAGAGAACACAACAAAATCCCTGCTGATTTGAAGCTTGTATTCGAGAAAAGAGTGGCGAATGATAACTCACTTATCAGTAAGCAACAAATGATGTAGATGAAAAAGTCAAAGATAAGGGAAGTCATTTTATATAGGATGGTGGGTAGACCTTAACAATAAGATGACATTTGAGTAAAGACTTAAATGAAGTGGAGTGATCCATGTAAATTTTTGGATGAAAACCATTTCCAGAAGACTTCTAAGGAACATCCAGGGTACCAGTGAGCTTGGAGGAAAAAAAAACCATAAAGGAGAGTAGCCTGGGTCAAACAGATAGAGGAGGGCAGATAAAATGGGAAATACATACATAAGTATGTGTGTATGCATTCATATATACATACTCACATACATTTCTATGTATTAAAAGTAGAGCCAAGAAGACTAAGTGCTGGTTTCAATGTGTGTGTGTGTGTGTGAGAGAAAAATAAATAAATAAATATTGGGTGACTTCAAATTTTTGGCCTAAGCAAGTGAAAGAATGGAATATGTTACAAAAATATGGAAGGCAGTTGCATGAACAATGTTGGGGGTTTCTGGGGGTAGAAATCGGGGTTTCAAGTTATAGATATGTTACATTTCAGATTCTTATTCAAAGTCAAATGGAAACTATTGAATAACCAGTTGCAAATATGATTCTGCCTTGAGGAAGAATTACTAGCTGGAAATGCAATTTGGGAACTGTCACACTATGAGTTGTATTTAATGCCATGAGACTGGATGAGTTCACCCTGAATCCACGTAGAAAGAGAAGACACAGTAATAGCTGAATCTGGTACATGTTTTTAAACTCATACTTGTACCTAAGTTTTATATAGAGAGCACTTTTTATTCTTTTTTAAATAAGGGATAATA